GTTAAACGTATAAACGTTTGACAAAAAGTGCGCTCTTCGCGCTGCTTGAGGCAGTAAGCTCCCGAGGCCAATAAGAATGTCAAACAAATTTTTAAATGTCAAATTTTAAAACTTTAAATTGTAAATTATTTTCTATAAAAAAAGCCAACAAAGTAATAATATTTCACTTTACACTCCTTAAATTAGTTGTACAATGATGTGGTGGTGTGCAGAGTTGCAAAAATGTTAATGTAAAAAATAATGCAATCGTCATTTTTTTTTAATGGTAAGGTAGTTTGAATACATTAACCATTAAAAAAAATTTAATGATAAATATTTTCATTACTCATTAAACAATGAATGAGTAATGTCGATGAACACATTACTCTTTAAAAAATAAAAAAATGAGTAATGAGAGACCGTACATTACACATAAAAAAACAATGTGTAACGAAATACATTACCTATTGAATCAGTGAAAAATGATCGGGCTTCTTAAACTTTGTTGTTATCATACAAATGATTTACAAAGAAAGAAGCTGCAAAAAAATGCATATTTAAGAATTTTTGGATAAGAAGTATAAATGGACACCAATTGATTAGCATTGATTATATGTAAAATGAGTCTCTTTAATCTCTATGAATGAAACCAGAAGAAAATTTTGCCGGTAAAAATTTTCTCTCGAGTGATATTTGACAAGACTATTATACGAGAAAAAACAAGACAATTAATGCACCATATTAACGAAACATGTAATCTTAATTTATTTGTTAATATTAAATGCACAATTATTATATGGTAGTTTGCCCATTCTTCTACCAAAGCACGATTTTGTGTATTATTGACCTGTAGAATGTGGGAACTCGAAGGTCCAGCTTCATTTGTTGTTCGGAGATTTTCGATCAACTTCTGGTGGTGACTAGAATCCAGCTGCAGGTATGGTTTTAGGGAGCTTGCATTTGAGTGACCCGTTAATTTAATTAACTCCTGTTCAGCAACACCTTTCTTAAACAAGGCTGTCACAGCTAAAGATCGATGCGAATGGTTTGTTATTTTATGTTTTTTTGTGTCTATTCCAATTTTTTCAGCTGACATCTTTGTCCACTTAGATACGATGTTGATTCCAAGTGGACAGTTTTTAAACCAAGATCCATTCTTCCAGTTGGGGTGAACGGTAAGAAAAAGTCTGTCTGATAAAATATTTGGTCCTCTTTTTCCATTAATTTCAAGAATAATCTAACTGGGCATAAATCTTCGTTTGATAAATTTCTTACCAACCATTTGCTGCTTGCCAAACTTTTCGACCCGCCTTGAGTTGTTTTCGAAAAAATGCGTTTGTATTCAATTCGGCCCGTAAATTCTCCCATATTATTAAATTCCTTCTGGAAAAAGTGAATCTTGCAGTTTACGGCCTCATTGCCTCTCCAAGCAAGTTCATATATGAGCTTTGGATCATTTTTAAAAGTTCTTCGGTGAATAATGCTTTTGAACTAAGTTTTCTTTTTTCTGGACAACTTTGAAGCTGCCTTCGCTTGGTATCTCTGGCCAATCTTGAACATTTGAAAGATATATCCGTGAAAGGATCGATTTTTATGCCGTATTCCGTAAAATATTTTTCTTGTACCATTTTTGCAGTTGAATTCCACATAGACTTTAAAGACGACTCTTTATAGTCTTCGCCATTGCATTTTTTCATATTAAAGGCGTAATCTTCCAGAATTTTTGCTAGTTCCGTCGCGGTAGTACATTTTTCCAGTGTAAAATTTCTCACCCGTAGGAATTCTGAGAATTGGGTCCAAATAGAGCTTCTGGACCTCTGAGTATTTAATGGGATATTTTCTGAAACCAATTTTATTTGTTCATCTAAATGGCACCCAAATCGTGAATTTGCGCGTGGATTCATTATTTCACAATGAAGTTTGTCAAACTGGCAACAATAGAAGTATAAAACACCTTGGTGACGGATTTGTAATAATATCAAAACCATAATTTTGTCGCTGAGAAATCAAGGGCAGGAGTTTTGTCGTAAGTAATATCATAAGGGCATTTAATTTTTCCGAAAAGAATCGAAAAAACACGTTGCTAAGTAATATTTTAACAAAAAGCATGAGTGCTGGTGGCAACAAAAATCCGAGTCGAAGAGGAGGATTTTTGCACCTACACGAATGCATTTTGTTAAAAAATATTACTTAGGATTGTGTTTTTTCGATTTTTTTCACAGGAAAAATTAGATGCCCGAATGGTATTTGACAAGACTATTTCATGAGTAACAGTTAACAATTAAAATATAAATTGCAATTTTTGGTGACAACAGCTGTCAAGTTTTGCCGCGGGTAAACTCGAATAAACTGCTGACAGGTGCTGTCACACAGTTTTTTCACCTAGAAACCATTTGTAATTCAAAATTGCGCGTTCCCAGACAGCACATATATCCATTGGACGTCCAGCGGACGACCATTGTACGTCCAAACGTCCAATGTAAGTCCATTTGACGTCCAATGGACATCTTGTGCTGTATGGGTTTGTGATAGGTGGATATTAAGACGAGGGAAATAGTCAGTAGAAAACGTGCCGTTACTATGACATTTTATTACTTAAAAATAGTCTAGTGAAATAGTCATAGAAATAAATAATTTTCTCTGATAAGATAAGTAATTTTCATAAAATTTAATCTTTTTCTTTAAGGTGACTATTAAAATAAGAAATAAACTATTTTTTCCAATGAAATTGATTACATTTCAATAATAAATTATTTTCGCTCAGAAAGTCTATGCTTTTTGTAAAAGATCAATTACACTTACATCTATTGCAAACCGTGCAACAATTGAAAAAATGTGTCATGCAATAAAAATATCTTCCTTGCCCACTAAAAATGAGTAATTCAATACTCAATTCATTTCTTATTAAAAATAAAAAATGAGTAATGTAAAGTGAGTAAATTACTTATATACATAAAAAAAATTAATTAAAAATCTCAAATTACTCATTACTCATTACAAATTAAAAATGAATTATGTATAAATAATACATTACCCATTGCAAAAAATGTAATGTAATGTAATTTAATTTTCATTAAGAAAGAATTAATGCATAATGAAAATTAAATTCATTACTCATTATTTTAATAATGAGTATTGAAACCTTACTGCATTAGAAAAATAGTGCATTATTTGCAACTCTATAGATCTATAGATCTGGTATACATGCCAACTCGATACTCATTCATTTCTCATTAAAAATAAAAAATGAGTAATGTAAAGTGAATAAATTATCTATAGATAGTATACTTATTTACAAAAAAAAATTATTTAAAAATCTACATGCCAACTCGATACTCATTCATTTCTCATTAAAAATAAAAAATGAGTAATGTAAAGTGAGTAAATTATCTATAGATAGTATACTTATTTACAAAAAAAAAATTATTTAAAAATCTTAAATTACTCATTAAAAATTAAAAATAATACATTACTCATTGCAAAAAATGTAATGTAATTTTTATTAAAAAAGAAGAATAAAAGACATAATTTTTATAACCATTTATGTAGGTGTTTGATTCTATCCTCCGTGAATCTGTTTTTGCTTTAAATTTTATTCAACGGATGGCGCTTAAATCATTTTAAATAAGCAAAAACCTCTGTTTACGACATTATAGATGCATGTGATTCCGGAAGGTCAGTTAGAATTTATATGCAGATGAGAGTGTTGCTGTTTTATAATTCAAAAGTTTAAGTTCATTAATTTGCCATTTAAAAATCCATCCACCATGAAATGTAATATCTCAGTAAGTAGATTTTTTTATAAATATATTATGTATGTACAGGGTGATCCCCTATAATGTCGCCCACCTTTAATTTTTTATTTTAAGACTTAAAATAAAAAAATTAAAGGGGGCGACATTATAGGGGATCACTTAGTGTCCTAAAAAATTTCAAAGTGTGGTTATGTAGGTACTAAAAAATATTTTTTTTTACGTATAAAGAAAATTGGAAAATTGATCAGTATACAGGGAAAAACAAAAAGTTTATTTTTTTTCAATGGATCACCCTATATATGTATTTATTTTTCTATTCCTTGTAAAATTCTAAGCATATTTCATATAATATACCATATACCTAAATTCAACCGTTTCTGAAATATTTAAATTATTTTTAAGATAATAATTTGAAATAGTTTGTCTTTCTCTGTCTGAGTACGACATTTTTACTTATTTAACAAGACATATTGACATAATGTCACTATAGTAAGTTATTTTCAATAAAAATTTTGGTATACTGAGGCTTCTTGATGGCTTCTTGATTTCTAACAGTTTAAAAAAACATTTAATGGTAACATTTCGAATGCGAATATTTCAGAAACGGTTGAGTTTAGGTATATGGTTTGTTATATGAATTATGCTCATAATTTTACAAGGATTGAAAAAAATTTTTTTTAGTTTCCCTGTATATTGATCAATTTTCCATTTTTCTTTATACGTAGAAAAAAAGTATTTTTTAGTACCTACATAACCACACTATAGGGCGACATTATAGGGGATCACCCTGTACAATTGTATTTTTTTTAAATATTAAGGTGTCAAAAGAAACAATAACCTATTTTAAATATACAAAGGGATGTTTAAAAAAACATACGAAATCCTAACCTCCGTGAATCTATCTTCCGTGAAGCTCTTATATTCAAAATGTATGATTTCTTAAAATTCTTGCATTTGTGCAGAACCACTTATTACTAGACCTGGTGGCTTCCCAAAACCCCCATTCTAGACTAACATTGAAACAACCAAAAATAAAAAATAATCATTTTCACTTGGGGGACATCTCAATATATTCACCCATAATGAAAATTAAACTCATTACTCATTATTTTAATAATGAGTATTGAAACCATACTGCATTAGAAAAATAATGCATTATTTGCAACTCTGGTGGTACCTATGTATGCCAAAAACAGTTTTATTTTTCGTTACTGTGCGAGTTCTCTTTGCCGTAAGCGTTGCTGAGTGTTGCCGTGGCGGAGAAGTTTATCATCATCTGTTGTCGGTCGGTCGCGTTGTGAGGCAAGCACACACAGACCAGTCAGTGCTCGTGCAGACTCGAGCAGTAGAGCACCAGCCGCCCGCGACTATCACCGACCACCTAGACCACGACGACGACGATGTCCGTCCAAATGCACCGCAACTGCGATCCCAAACCAAGCAGCTCTTAGCCCACTCTTCGATCATCTTATTGTTGTTATTATTTGTATTTGTTGTTTAGTGTGCGTGATTATGTTGTTTTAATAGTTACGGGATTATTCACACCTGGACATGAGGTTGCCACTCGAGATTAACGCGGTCTTCCCTTTCGGGTTCTTTGCCATTTTTGCAATCACATCTTCCTTGGCGGTAAGTCTTTATTTTAAGAAAAAAATTGTTTAAAATATATATTCACCAATTCTTAGCAGAATGCCATTTGTGAAAGAAGTTGTTTAAAATTTAAATTTAGTAAAAATAGTCTTTTAAACATTCTAAATTTAAATTTATATAATTGTTAATGTTTTTTAAAAAAAATGTCTATAATTTAAAAAAAAAAAATTACCACTGCTTTAAATGTCTTTTTAAAAGAATGCGTTTTTAAGAAAAACCTCTTATACTTATGTTAACACAATTAAAACATTTTTTAAATATATAATTTTTTTACCTAAAATTGAAAAGAAAAAAGCTTTATTTACAGTTATCTCGTAAGATCATTAGGGAATTTTTTTAATGGTCCAAGCCAAATTCCCCTAATATCTATTTCATTCATTTTAAATCGAAATTTAATACTTCCTTTACAAATCGTCCGAAAATCCTATTAGCGCAGATTTTTGTTATAAGCCGACGACCAGTTTGCGTTCTTTATTGTTTATGTTCCTCCTTCGCTTTTGTGATCCTCTTAAGATAGAAAACTTAACTGTAAAAATACATTTAAAAGACCATAAAGTACAATAAAATAAATCCAGTTCTGCAATACCTGTTTTAAACCATGCATCTAAAATGCAAATGCATAAATTTTACTGGTAAGATTTTAACACGTGTTTTTTTTTGCTTATCGCTGCCCAGCTGCAATGTTGCAGCATAATATATACTATGTTGTAGTAAATAGTTTGTCCGAAAATAAGTCATTGATAATCTCGATTTAAAAAATAGTACCTATACATTAATTCAAATTTAACTCGATATCAATTAGAAGCCCAATAACATTTAAAACAATTTACCTGTACCAAGCGTTTAGGAACCAGTTTTTTAGTTCCAAAACAAACCAAAGATTGCTATACAGCATGATGGAACAATTTTAGACTTCAGGTTTTTGATAGAAAAAGATTTTGGGAATTGGCAAAAATAGTATATTGTTTACCGAGCGTGGAATCATATATATTACTCCCGATGATGAAAGTTTCCGAGCGAGCCGACAGGCGAGTGAAGGAATTCATTGAAGGAGTAATTGCGATTCCACGCGAGGTAAACACCATACTTTGGGGCCGTTCATTAATTACGTGAGGTGTTTAGGGGGGGAGGGGGTCGAGCCAAACCTCACCAAATCTCACGTGGGGGGAGGGGGGGTCTTGGCAAATATCACGTAATTTTTTTTCCGAAAGAAAGAGTGTAAAATTGCAAGAAAACTGGGTTAAATTAAGTAAACAATTATAAGCAAATTGTTTTTTTTAATAAATCTAATGGAATCAAGCACAGATTAACTTATTTACTTTAAAACCATGCATTTTAAAAAATCTCACGTGAGATTAAGGGGGGGGGAGAGGGGGTCGAGCAAAATCTCACGACATCTCACCAAGGGGAGGGGGGGGTCAAAAAATCGCCAAAATTGTCTCACGTAATTAATGAACGGCCCCTTTTTTGTCGAGATGAATTGCTTACAAATACCCCCACAATTTGGGTACCCGCAAAAAACTTGTGTCAAAATAATTTTCAAAATAATCTGACGTTTAATTAAATTCTGACGTTTACATTCAAGGGAGGGAATGTGACATTTCTTACCTGATAACATTGTCATTAATTATTTAAAATTGCGAATATTATTACCCACTCGACAAAAAAGAAATATAACGTCTTACAAATCTTTATTTTAAAGGGATTACTTTTGAACTGCGTACAAATTTGAAGTCTTTGTCGAATTTTTTGAAAATTTATGATTTTTTTTAAAGTCTACCTTTGACAGAGTACACATTTGTACACCGATTTTTATAAAATTAGAGTATATTATTGAGGAGACTTAAAGAATACTTTTTAATACTGTTCACATCATTTTATATATACAGTGTGAGCCAAAAATCGCTTATTTTTAATAAAGCAAAAGCGTAAATTTATGATTTTAGAATAACACGCAAAATAAGATTTATCCCTATTTTTTTATATATTTTTACGTTTATCAGGTTACAAAATGGCATTCTTATTAACCTTTTATAAAAAAATAGATTTTTAATAAAATTAAATAAAATAACGCTTAGAGAATATTTAAAATGTTGTTTAATTTAGGCTTTATAGTAGTTTTCAATTTTGAACGAAAAACTGGTTAAAGTTTTTTGATCGGCACTCTTTGGAGATTTAAAAACGATATTTACCAAAATTCTAACTGTTTTTTTTAATTTGTAAAAAATTCATTTTTTTAATAATTTGTTTATCGCAAAGTCTACCTTTGCCAGAGTACACATTTGTACACCGATTTTTATTGATTGCAGTTTCTTGTTCGGGACCCTTTGGTAACTTTAAAATGATATTTACCAAAATCCTAGCGGTTCCTCTTTTCGAAATTTTTTCAAAATTCTTAATTTTTTTTAAATTTTTGTTTATCAAAGTCTACCTTTGACAGAGTACACATTTGTACATCAATTTTTATAATATTGGAGTATATTGTTAACGAGACTTGGAGAATACTGTTTTCATACTGAGCAGTGCTCAGTGAGCACATCATTAGATTCATACAGGGTTAGACAAAACTCACTTTTTTATATAGTAAAAAGCATACTGCACAAAAAAGATTTATCTCCAAAAAATGTTATTTCATTTAATTTTATTCAAAATAATTTTTTCTTATAAAGTCTTAATAAGAATCTCATTTTCTAGCCTAATAAACATAAAAATATCTAAAAAAACATGAGTGGGTATATATCTTTTTTGCGTGTTATGCCAAAATCATGAATTTACGCTTTTGCTTTATTAAAAGAAGCGATTTTTGGCTAACCCTGTATATATTAAATGATGTGCACAGTATAAAAAAGTATTCTCCAAATCTCCCTAACAATATACTCCAATATTATAAAAATCGGTGTACAAATGTGTACTCTGTCAAAGGTAGACTTTAAGATAAACAAAAATTTAAAAAAGATCATGAATTTTTTACAGGATAAAGATAGTGTCATTTTATAGGTTGATAATACTACACCAAATCTTAAAATTTTGCAACTTTTAATTTCACATATTCACCGCCGCGCTGGTAATAAAGATTTCCAAGTTGGTTACTCTATTGTTTTATAGATGTCGGTTTATAAAAATTTTTAATTTAATTTATTTTTAGATAATACTTGGCATTTGTCGTAAAAAAATATAGTATGCAATCCGTTTATAAACTTTTCTTGACACTAATTTAAATTAAAATCATGTCTAAAATGGCGTTTATCAAACTTGATACATAATATACTATTATGTTCACTATGGTATATGCACTAATATGTAAAAACATTAAAAACATCAGCATAAAATATTGAAACATGTCATTGACATTATTAAAATTTTAATTGCAAATCTACGCAGTGGTACGCAGGGTGGCTAAAGTCACCCAAGTTTACGGTTTAGTAAAATTTTATACTTATAACAGAATATTTCTTTGTTTCTTATTGTAATTGTTTTTAAATGATCAATTTATTAATACCTATTAACATCAACTCTGTTACGCCACTGGTTTAAATTGGCGTCGGCTCTCGCAAAGAATAAGTGCTCACACAATAAAAGGCAGTTATGTGCTTACGCTAAACATGGTCTTGGGTTCCGTTCGACTTTCTATGCCTACCGCTCGCTGCTGGCAAAGCCAGACAGTATGGCTCCATTATACCTAATATTCTTAGAAAACGCACTTAACTACGACCGACCGACTAGGTTCTATAGGTACTGGTCTTCCACTTCATCATTAAGTCACTATGAGAAACTACTTTTTTCATAATGTCAATTTTTTTACTTACATATTTATTCGAATTTTTTAAATGTTTTATAGTGCAAATTGTTATCTGTTTCCCAATTATTAATTATTTTAAATATCTTAATTTAAGATAAAATTTAATAAACACCACAAATAAAAACTATGGGGAACGAAAAGAAACAAACTTGCAAATTTTTTTCAAAACTTTACTTAGAAAAAAACTAGTTTTCCAATTATTAGTCAAAATAAGTAAAATTGGTTCTAATTATAGACGTTTTTCGTTAGCCCATCTTGCAACAGGTCAACACACTGCCCGTCAAAATTAACGCATAATAAGTAAAACAATTCTAACTCTAAAACGCCTTTACCAATCTTTATGAAATTTTGTATAAAAATTCAGTTTACGTGTTCGAGGGTTTTTCGAGAAAATATTTTTAAAGCCCTTTTATTTAATAATAAAAAAAACGTTCGATAAATAACTTTTAGGGATTTTTTTTTAAGTAAATAAAAAATATGCTGTTAAAGACCGTATTTTTGTTAGTATACCCTGAAAATTTTGTACAAATCAAACGAACAGTAACGAAGATACAGCGCTTCCAAGTCGATAAAAATGACCCCTTTTTGATTATATTGCTGAAAAGTGGTCATTTTTGACGACTTTGAAGCGCTGTTTTTTCGTTACTGTTCGTTTGATTTTTACAACATTTTCAGGGTATACTTACAAAAATACGGTCTTTCACATAATAGTTTTTATTTCCTAAAAAAATTTTTCCTATAAAGTTTATTTTCGAGCGTTTTTTATTATTAAATAAAAGGGCTTTAAGGATATTTTTTCGAAAAACCCTTGAACACGTAAACTGAGATATAAGTTGAAGTATTTTTATACAAAATTTCATAAAGATTGGTAAAGGTGTTTTAGAGTTAGAATTTTTTTACTTGTTATGCGTTAATTTTGACGGGCAGTGTATTTTTGATTTTTTTAAATAAACTTTTTCACCACTAATAATATTTTTTTCCCAAATTGTTTTTTTCGCCTTCAGAACTACCAAAATACATAATACAAAATTACCCCACCTAAAGGGTAAATTGAAATACATTACTTTTAGGTTTTTTTAAGTTTAAATTTAATGCTACATATCCCACCTTGACATTTAAATACAAATTAAGGTTATCTATCTGTCAATTTAAAGCTAATTTCGTCTTATTTTCTAATAAT